TGCCTCATTGCGATGTAGAAATATCATTTTAAAGGCTCTCAAGAAAGGCAAAAAAAAACGTATTTTCAAAAAACGACATTGAAATTGCTTGTCTCAGTAAAAAATTGCAAATTCGATCATCGCAGCAATATTTTTTTGAACTTGCTATCTCTACAACAACACGTACGACATCTTTCACATAAGCTAAAAAGTTAGGAGTAAATGCTACTTTGTGATGTTAATGATTTCTGTATCCTGAACCACCTATGATTAAGAAATATCGAAACTTTTGCGAAACTACTACAAAATAAGCCCTTTAAAGATCTCTAGAAAGATCAGTGGATAATAAAATTTACTTCAATTTCTGAATTCCAATAGACTTTTCACCAATTCAACTCTCCAAAGCGCCTAACCTGTGCACGATGAGTTCGATTTTATCGCGTGATGTGACGAGCAGACGATCGACTGAGTTGATATCGAGATTGCTTAGTCCCTCAAGTTGATCGAGAATATCGCCGTTTCGCAGGCCTGCACGGTCTGCCAACGAGCCACCGACTACCTGAAAATTTGGACAAATCACTACGGGAAGATACATGCACTACAATTTTTTTTATAAGTGCAATACACTTTTTTATTATAATCGATTTGCTATGTTGGAAACAAAGAAAAAATACAAATATTGTAAAAAATCAGTTGTTAAAGATGGAATAGTGAAAATAGAGCATTTAGGGTACAAAAACGATTAAATGAGTCAAATGATATGAGGCAGCAAACTGTCTTCGATGAAAGTACATCTTTCTTTAAGAATCTTCTTGAATATATTAGCCAACATTATGATTTCTTGCCATTTTTCTTAACCTTCCTCCCACCCTTCAAAATTGCATAAACCGTTTGCTCGGGACCAGATGGAAGAGGCAATGAGCTTTTGTCAGTGGCGTTTCAAGCTTCAAATGAGGATGCTTTCTTTAAATGATTTCAACTTGTAGAAAATTTTTAGATATGCATAAAGCGTATAGCACTAATGTAGTAACACTTCTTGAACAAATAATGAACTGATTCTTTAATTTTCTCAAGCTCCAAATATTTACTGTTATTGTCATTTCTTAACGTTTTGCATTTTATATGAATCAGTGCGTTGCCTTTCCTCTGAAAACTAACACTAAGAATTGTTGCAAAGCGTTTCTTTTAATAGTTTTCTTTATACACACATTTCTTATCGCTCCTTCAATTAGAAATGACGCTCAACATACCTCTAGTAGTCAATTTGTTTTCGTAGTGCTGAAGTGCAAAAGGGTGTGTCCATTTGCATGTCTTTTCTTTTTTGCAAATCATTCTGCACTATTTCCATGACACCAGACTTATGAAAGCACATGTGAAGATGTCCTCAAGACGTTTTCCTATTGCAATTCAAAATTACGCAAATTAAATAGAAATTTAAGTTAAGTCGTATATCATTTTGAAGAGGGCTGCTTCTGCGAGATGGTGTATCTATTTTTTTTGTTGGAATTGATTTTTGTTAAATTTCATATCCAAACTCCACAAATAGTGAAGTCCAC